ACAAAATAAGGAAGAATTCTTAAAATTCTTATTTTAAACAAAAACCACAAGCTTGTAGGTGTACACTCTGTCGTCTGTTTGCATTTTTTAAACTTGGTGGTGTTATTAATTTTTTCGCTTTTTTTGCTCCRTCCGCTTTTACTTCCGACCCGTTGCAAGCACGCCCCTAAACATGATTATATCTTATTACGTACTGGCACTGTAGTTGTAAGAGCGTTTCAACAAATCGTAGGACCTTTAATGAGAGGTGTTTGCGCGCAACCGCACCACTTAACGATGACACGACGTCACGATAATATCATACACGTGCATGATAATATTTTTATGATCTTGCACTACTATCGTTGATAATAATATTTCAATATTTCGTTGTAGTTTGTAGTATTCAGTTTTGTGGATTGGTTTTTTTATGGGACCGTGCGCGCAAAAATCATATCTCTTCGTGATGCGTAACACAATCTGCGCGGTGCTAACTTAATATGACGCAATGATAATAATGAGTATAATAATATGTCCGTACCATCAGTGTCATAATTCTCATTAGGTACTGGAAACGGTGACATTTTGAATGCATTACGTTGGGAAAACTGCACTGCACGAGCGCGCGCGCATGCTATCCGTCATCATTGCAATTATTAAGTCATAGAAAGTCTTGCAAAATTAACATTCTACTTAATATACAGACATTATTATCAATGCTACTTTAATATTTTACTAATACACAAATGCAATGCATCATGCACGTTCCTCGTATAATTTTATCATCTTCCTTCTTTGTACTCTATATTTAACTTTATACTAACGTACACACGCGAWAATATACTATATACAAACATATTTAGCTATGAAATGTCGACGTGTGTGTATGTTAATATACATATACAATTTACATGATTATTCGTCATTTTATTCATCCCTCAAACATTCTTCCCTGGATGTTGGTTTTACCGTACTCGGCCGACTTGTTCATTTAAATAATGTCCCCCAGCCCTGYGCTCAACTTTATTAATTATACTGATTGCGTGTTTTATGCTAAATGACTTTAGTACTGGATGCTCAGTAAGATCGGAGAGATCAGGAGGGACGAGTCGTGCTTGGACTACGCTGGCAGCGACGTAATCTTATACCCGTGCCACGGATCTAAGGGAAACCAGTATTGGAACTACGACCATAGAGTGAGTATTGACAAAATCATTTTTCATGTAAAACGTACAATATAATAATATGCAGTGATGAGTTCATTTATGTTTTGTTTAATACTATGGGAATTTTGGAGTGTGTTATATATAGATTGAAAATAAATTTTCTCTTTAGCAATTTTCCATACATATATGCGTTGTGAACTGAAAATCGTTAATAAWATGTCCCCTTTTAAATTAATGATTATTTAATCGCATAAAAAAATAAACTAATCGTTGGTAGATGGAAAGTAGGTGAATATACAAACATTTGTATAAAATAAAAAATAATAAAGGCTGACAATTGATCAAACAGCTATAGTATTATTTTTACCAGCAGTGTTATAGACAACCGTTTTCTTTGGGGTGTGTATATACTTAATATACTACTTCGTTATATTCATATCAAAATTCGTTTTTGTTCGTACAAACATAATTTATTTTATCTTTGTTGAAAACAAAATTATGTGAAGAACAAAGAGCTTTTTTTTACGCGTTCAATAAAATGAAACACAAAGTTATTTTAGAAAACCAGTACAAGTTTGACAATAACACAGTTTTAAATAATAACACTTTTCAATAAAATGGTCTAGATACGCTTCTTCATCATCACTAAAGGTCACATTAAACTTAACTAAGTATTTAAGTTGGAGATGAGTCTAATCTTTCCTATAATGCATTAAAATAAAACCTAATTTGAAGTTTAAAATAAATTAAATTTTTTATTGAATTCTAGATTTTCTATTTTTATACTTAATTTAAGATTTCGCAATTAAAAATGTTCAATAATTTTTTATTTGGAAATTTATGTAGACTAAACAGCTACGGCATGGTAGCAGTAGAAAGTGTCTATCCATCAATAGCACCAAAGACAAGCTGCTCATGGAAGAATGTGACTTAATGCTGTCCAGACAAATGTGGCTTTTTGAAAACTTTAACGCGACTTTGGCCACCGAAGACAGTCACATGAGGCATTAAAGACTTCTAACAAAAAAATTATATTAGAATTACTTCCTATATTATTATTATTTTGTTTTGTATTATTTTTTTTTTTTTTTGTTTTGATCAAAATTTTTCCCATTACAAAACTACCGAGCTCCGTCGATGGTCGTTTTGTTTTTACGATTATGTATACCTTTGTTCGAACAACGAAACGTTGTGGCGCTCAAACAAATCCAGCGACTTGTACATAACGCGTTCTTTTTTATGTAAACTATATATTTTTTTTTTTAATAATTATTATCTCTATGTATTATATACTATATGATTGTACTTAAACAGTATTGCGGCTATACGACGAACAAAACATTCCCTCATGACATTTCCATTTTTTTTTTTTAATTTCGTCCAAATCATTTTTTGTTTATAAGCAATTTGTGTTGATTATTATTATTATTATTATTTTCAGTGTACATAAATAATTATGTCTATGTAACGTACGTGTTATATATTATTAT